TTTATGTATTATTGCAACCAACAAGACAAATAAGTCATATATATGGATTTAATTACAATATCAGAAGATCCAGGTATCAAAATGTAGCTTTTAACGCCAATAATCTGAAAATGTAATTAGGTCATTTTGACCAAATTTGACTTAATCCTCATTTAGATATAGTGGATCACATTTTGAGTATTAATCTCAATAAACACATTTGATGCTTACAGAAGGCTGAACAGTTCTCTGTGGTTATCYTCTCCTTTACCGTCCGACACCATGCTCTCCAGCTTATCCATCAGCTCTGCCTCGACCTAAACACACAAAAAAATGTTTCTTCATGCGACAAACCCATGAATGCAACGTTCACTCTGCATTTTATTGCTTGAGAGTTTCACCTGTTTGAAATTGCCATTTTTCCTTTGCTCCCAGTCCATCATGTCATGAAAGATCGGGATCATGATATTCCGAACTTCAGTCTGAGGCACCAAAGTGACGCCGAGGAAGGGACCCATCATTCCTGGGATGAAGTGGGGCTTGTTGTCTCCTGCATTGTGCAGATCCACACAGACAAAAGCCTTTGCAGAACTTCATAAAACACAGAAAGGTACTGAGCTTCCCTGTGATGTGAGTCCAGTGTGTGTGTGTGGAGGGGGGGGTGGATGGTGGGGATGACGCACCTAATTTTTGCCACATGCTGAAGAGCTCATACGCCATGATTACCCTCAAGTCACCATACCTACACAAGCAAAAAGATAGACAGAGAACAAGCACGATAAAAAATGGTAACTTATCAACGTACCAGCGAAAGAACACATGTAAAAGTTAAAGGGTTCTTACTTGTCCAGAGTTTTCTTTCTCTTCGCGGGAGGAAGTGATTCGAGCTGCAGACTGGGCTGATTGATGTACAGAACTGTGAGGCTAAAGAAGGAATTCCACACCTGAGAAGAAGAAGAAATGAACATAAATAGCTAATAGACCTGACATTAACTGAAGGAATACATGTTGAACATCTCCTTTCAGTTCTAGCCTGAGATTATCTTCTGTTGAGAAATGATGCTGTTTTGTAGACTTTTGGTCAAACCTTGGAAGAAACGTTATGCAAGATCTCAAGCGAWATCACCAGCTGTCACACTCACAGTATGTTGTGACACTTTCAGCTCCTACCACCTTACATTCTAGCRTGATATCTGTAAACCTGACTGAGTTAGACACTTTTTTTCAGGAGAAAAACAAACAGGGTAGACTCGAATAGGTACTGCCAAGGTGCCCTACGGGCTCTGTYCAGCAGATGGTGTCGTTCATTGTTGTTTGCTAAAGTAGGTAAAACTTTTTTTCCCATTTTTTTGTAAGTCCGTCACAAAAGGTGTCTTCAATGTTTTTAAAATGAGTCGCCAAATTATTTTTGGATAAATATTTATGATTTTAGAGCTATATAAACATTTGTAAGTTACTTGAACCGTCGCGGACCATTTCAGTTTCAGGAAGTTCTCCGCATCTGTTGCTGTGCAAGTTTTGGTTCCATACCCTTCCCTTTGGTATCTTTGAAAAGACAAAGCTCTCACGAATTCATGGATACATCTTGACACTGTGTTACTCTTTGTTTGGTGATGTGAAGTTTGTGCGAAACCGAGAGTATAAATAACAGCCCTCATGCGTAAAACGTTGAGGCGGAGTTAGGTTCCATTCGATTTCAAGGTGTGCACAATGGTAGATTTTGATGATGCACAGTGCAAATGTAAAAAGAAAGGGTTATGTCATATGAAAAATGAGTCCTACAATAGAAATCAACACTTTTATTAGACCAGATTCTCTTTTATAAAGTAAAAAARTCATTTGGCACAGTTTTGGGTACATTTGACTAAATTGTGCCAAAATGCCATTTCTGCCTGGCACACTGCTCACTAAAACCTTTGTGAAATGAATATACTTCAACTTATTCCYTCKTACTTTGCTTCAATTTTTCWCAAGARGTAGATGTAWAAAATCTAAGGGCWTTCCTGGGTTTTCACAAGAATTTTCATTGTGTTTTGCAATGTTGATTTAAAAAAATTTAGGCGAGGCTAAAAAAATTACACATTTTCTTTATTTGATCACAAATAACTCAGGCACAGWAAGAGRTACAACAGTGGTTTCACTTAAGAAATTATCTTTGAGATCTTACCTTTACAGAGGTACCAAGAGTTAGCATTTAGACRTTATACCTGTGGYGCTYTTCTTGCWTTATTTTGCTGTGCATTTTCAGGCGGAAATTACCTCTAAAGCCCCTTAGGGCTTGCAAAGTTCATGTGTAATATGTTGCAATCAAACTATGTTTTGAGAACAATTCTCAACTACAGTACTACCACACCAAATTTCKTTTTAATATCTATAAAACTGGCTGAATTAAAGCCATTTCTGTTTCTTGTGGTGGCCTTCTCCACCTCTCAATGCTCACTGACCCAGCGAGGTCAGCATCTGCTTTTCTCCACTTCAAAGGCTGGTATATACGGCTGGCACATTCTAATCTATGTAGGAGGGTGTGAAAATGATTCAGTCCTCCTGTTATGACTGACACTTTTCTTGACCAACTGGATTTTCTATGGCTTTTCTACAGTCAATAATGTCAAGTACGGTCCATATGACCCYCCCCTGGACTGCATCATTTGACCGACTGTAGAACAAACCAATCAGCACTGATCCTTGTTCTGACATCATAGATGTGTGGCCAATCAAATTCTCTTTAAGTCAACGTGTCAAGTTGTGAGTCAACAGCAAATAATACGTATCTGAGATTACAAAGAAAGATTTTGTTTTGACACAATGCCATTTTCTGTTCCAGMGGCCACCCAGTGGTGAAGAAAAGAGGATGTGGGGAAAAAAATAATGTTTAAGCTGCCAAAACCTGTTAAAAAGAGAAATGCGTCTGTTACAAGTTATTATGAGTGCTTCAGCAGAAGGAAGAGTGAGTTTTGGTGCATGAAAATTACCTTTAAAAAAAACAAAGGTTGCTTCATCCTGGATGCCATTTTGGATTTTTGGATTATTCTTTTGGTCATAAAAGAAGACAGATTCATTAAAAGTAAGTAAAAATTTATATCCTGCTGCTGCTGGTTTATAAGTTGTTTGGATGTAAATGCTTTGAAAAAAGTATGGATTTACTTATTATGTTGTGTTTTTGGTATTAGGCTACTTGTGGGCAGCGGCATTCTGAGCTTTAACTGGGATATTAAGAGGTTAACTTGTACTGATTACAAAAGTTGATTGGTTGTAAGTACATGAGATTATTTTTGCGAGTTTTATTAAAATTACGTAGTGTTTTTTTTTTCTTCAATATTTTGGTAACAAAACAGACTCGCAAACGGGCACCAATTTTGTCCACTATTTAGTGACGGGTGATAAAAAGTTTTATGAAGCTACAGCCTGCCTCGGCCCACACACCTACCTTAAAATCAAAGTCTCCCTCAGAGAAGTTCTTGTGCAGTGCCGGTGACAGAAACTGCGTCGTCACCACAATGATACTGCAGAAAACCAAACATTACACAATAAGCTCAAAGAAAACTGAACATTCTGCCAAAAAAAAAAACGGATATAAAAATTTGCAAAGCAAGCATCACCTTCAGATCAGGACTATCTGAATAAGTGCCTGATCTAAAAGCTTGGCTGTATTCCTGAATTCATCTYTGGGACAAAAAAAAGGGCAGGACTCACTGACTAGTCAGCAGCCGCATCACGCTCCAGTCCCGGGGGAAGATGGTCAGCTTCATTAGGTTGCGAAATACGCAGAAAATCTTCAGCAGGAACTCCTGCAAGAAAATGATTTACCAGAGTCTGTTCAGGCTAAGTGCAGTATGTGGTTCGTCTGTTCAKTCTGATCTCAGCTCTCTTGTAAACTCGCGCGTTCAGTTCGAGGTGAGGCTTCCCCACCTTTAGTTCCTCCTTGCTGTGGAAGCTGTTGAGCAGATGGTGAAAGTGAATCTCRGTCATCTGCCGGAGCAGAGAGAGAAGGCAGGAAACATACTCCCCCTGCATAAAAAGCCAAAAAGAATTTAAATAAATAAAACAACATGTAAACCAACAGAAACATTGACACGAATCAACTCAAAATAATATCCAACTTCCTGTGCTTTTGTAATCTTTCCAAGAAGTGCTTTGAGTGGAAGCTTACCGTTATCTCTGCGGTGCACTGAGGACAGCGCTGTCCTCTGGACGTCTCCACAGAATGAGATTTGCTCATGATGGACAGCAGAGTCTGCAGCAGCACATCCAGTAAGCTCTCCACCATCATTTCCACCTCCTCCTGAACAGAAGACTCCTGAAAGGCAAAGTCAAAGTGGACTGAGGATTGCCTCAGAGTTCAAACTTAGAAACCGGTTGTGAATTTATAACACATGTTATTCCAAAAATGGGGAACTGGATTTATGTTGTATTATGTGTTAAAGGGGACATATCATGCAAAATCCACTTTTTGTTGTACGCTTGGAGTCTCTCCAAGTGCTGCYTAGATATCTTCATATTCTGTTTGGGTCACATTTTTCAGTCCCAATTATGCGTTTTGAACAACATTTCTGCAGAGCTTCTAAACAAGGTCAGAGACTTCCGGAAAACTAATTTCTTAAATCTGTCAAGTCTTCCCTTGTTGACATATTTTAATCAGTTTGTAAATTTGTAAATTTAAACATACTTTCAAACTACAAAAATGGCCGAACAGGGTGAAGTGTACAATAATCATTGGGGGTGCACCCTGGGGCGAGGTGGGGTCTGAAGTGTCTCTTTAAGTTTAAAGAGACAGCACTAAAATGAGTTGATCTAAGGCACACCTCAAAAAAGGGGTAAAAGAGGGTCTTGTGGAGTTACATTAATGAGGAATTCGGACAAAAGCATTGTAGTTCCACTTTATACAGACACAAACTGAAAGATTTAAATATGAAAAGGAAGGATTTATACTCCAGACATGTCTCCTTTAAGGTTTACAACCAGAGTGTACCATGGAGCTTGTTTTGATTATCGAAAAGATGCTTCCCAGGATCCCAGAACAAATGAGCAGCTCCCTCTGCTGGCGCAGATGCAGATGGATATGATGCAGAACGACCGGCAGCAGTATACTACGGGACTCTGAAAAAAGAGAGCACGCGACCAGGTGAAATTACTAAACCATTCCAGACCATTTTGTTTATTTAGATTTAAAATATATATTCTAAATCCTTCCTATGTGTCTCACCGGGGAAGAAAAAGAGGCGGCTCTCAACCGTGCGAGCGATGGACTGCAGTTTCACCACATCCATGGACTGACCGATGTCCACCGTGCTGGGCATGCTCCCCAGGGTGCCCCTGACATATTCAGCCACCTCCTGAACGGTGAACATCTGCAGCAGCTCATCAAAGATATCAGGGAAACTGTTCAACAGCGCTGCCTGGAGTGAGGAAATAAAGGACACAGGGAAGCAAAGATACGTGTAAATATAAACCCACTTTCAGCGGTAATAAACAAAATGTATTAAATTACATTTTTAAAGTGATACAAAATGTTAATGTGGCAAAAATCAGCACTAAACAGAAGCTAGCATTTAGTGTCTTAAAAATGAATCATCCTGTTTGAGCAGGCTGACGGTTGCACAGCATCTGCTGCAGAGTGGAACCAACACAGGGGGGTGCTGTGACTTACTGAGAAGGACGAGAGCCAAGAGACATGACCACAGACAGGCATGCAGCTGATCACAGCCCTAAAGTGTCCAAAATCAAGCCAAGGATGAAGCAACGGTCATTAAAGCATCAGTAACAGAACAAACAGAGTAATGGAAACAGAAGATAAAGAAATCACTGAGACATGAATGCAAAAAAAAATCATAAATAAATAAAGATGAAAAAACAGACTCCAAAGCGTGCGATGTGCTGTATGTTTTAATGAATTTAACCTGTGTGAAGACCAGATTTTCAGAGCTGCGGCTGTCCAGGCTCAGGACGAAGCGGATGGACTGGAACAGCTCCTGGATGCTGGCTCTGAACGGCTCCTCCTCCATCCCACAGGTGGCTCTTGCATACAGGATTCGAGACTGCACAATGAACTTGAACAGGTACTCCAAAGCCTGATYGTCGTCAGAGAAAAAAAAAGAGATGGAGACATACGACCAGGGAACCCCCACYTCCTCTCTTAACTTTCAGTTCTTTWGCAAACAAAATTTGTTTGAGGTTGAAAATAAATATGTAAAAAAATGTACAATTATCTCGCCACAAAGGCCACATGAAAATGCTGKACTATGTGTATCGATATCAGCGAGGCTTTCCAATGACTTCCTTTCACAAGGAATCCAGCAGGGAGTCTACTTCCCGAGTCCTCGAGCGGTGTCACATTACTCCATATCAGCTCTGTTTCTCTTTGACCGTTTCCTCTTTTAAGTCTAATTAATCTCCACTGACGGAGCCAGGACTGAAGCAGAGGGACCCYAGTCCAATACTTTACCCTCATGGCTTCTTGTATGTGATCCTGTCGGACGACCTCYGCTGAGCGGTCCATGTACCACTTCAAACATCGAATCAGTTCTCTACAGACAAAATGGCCCAGTGGTAAGAAACGTTGCAGGGCTTTAAAGAAATTGCATTATGTTCGTTTTAAACTGCTTATTTAAATAAGAATTTTGTTTTACTTGTACGCCAAGGCGCCAGCAAAGTGGTTCTGGATGTAGGCGTCCATGACGGGTCTGAAGTGGTAGAAGCGGCTGTCCCTGAGCAGGTTAATGATGAACACCTGAGCACACAAATGCATGCGTTATCGTCTAATTTCACAGCTTAAAAGTCACCAAGCATGATTTAATACGTGAGCGCAGCTGTGTTCTTCAAATCTTCCTACCAAAGACTGGAAAACCAGCGGTCCATATTTATCGGTGTTGTCATCTAAGAGACAGAAAAGCGTATCCAGGACGTCTCTCAGGAACTGGGAGAGAGAGGAAAAAAGGAACTAATCTCAAAACAAGCATCACATGAAAGTTACCAAAAATAGAAGCAGAGGAAATTGAAAAAAGGAAAGCCCGGTATCTAAAAACAGGACAGTAAATTCTATTATTTTAATATAACGGGACCTTTTTGTGGCTGAAGCATTTATCATGATAAATGGAAAAACTCTCTGCTTAACCGTAAAAATCAATGTAAACTAAACAAAATATTCAGCTAACTGAAACATTTCTGAAGAATCAAGAAAAAAAAAGTTAAAGCTGTTGTCAGTGGCTCTTTATGGTCATGGTGTCTCACTCCCTTACAGGAAACTCAGGAGACAGATAGAAACAGACTGAAAAGRAAGCCTCAAACAAAAAGTCACTGTTTAAAAACTACAAGTCATATCTTTAAAATAATCAACATACATTCAGTGAAGCTTCTAGGATCTACACTCAAACAAGAATAATATAATTACTTTTACAATCTCCTCTCCACTGATTTGGCGAAGTCGACCGAGGATGTCCAGCACCCGGTCRGGATGGGCCTTCCAGTTCAGAAGAGCCAGAAGATCGACTAAAAGCAGTAAAACTTCAGTCAGTTGAACTGAKTCAAACAGGACTACACAAATAGGAGGCGTTTGTAAAGTGTTAGATGTGAAGCTACCATTCTGAGTGAGTTTGGTGGAGCAGAGTATTGTAGAGACCCAGAAGGTTTCTTTGGGGCTTCTCTGGAAAGGCAGGTTGGCTGGCAGGTTGGGGCAGCTGTTGAAGTCCTCTTTACAGCAGGGAAGGCTCAGGTACAGACCCTGGTTACTGAAGGTMGCGTTTTCATCACACTGAAAGATGGACAAAGGACGTTTGGAGGAGATTAGTCATGGTTTGGATTAACTGGACCATTTTACATTATAGTCTGAATGATCTAGAAGCACAAACTGGAGAAAAGATCGCTGTCACTAACAAACGATGTTAAAATATATCTTAAACTTCATATTTATTGTGTAATATTCCTAACATGGTAGCAGAGATAACCTGGTGTTTTTACACTGTATATGTAAAGTAATGTCAACAATAAGACAGCTGATTTCTTATTGTGTGGTCCAGTTAGAAACTCATATTCTGATGTTTTCCAGGTCTTGAGAACTAATAATGTGCTTTTGCTGAAACAAGTATACTGTGTGCAAACACCTCCATTCCTGAGCAGAGCATAGAGTCCAGAATGATGAAAGATCAAAACACACACAAAAAAGGACAGATGATAGCATGTGGGCTAAATTATTGCAAAGGTATCTTTGGATTAGTCACACTGAGTTGCTCAGTTCAGGCAAAGCAGAGCAAAAAAGAAGTATTTTATTCAAAAATTGTTCAAAAACYCTGTAAATACAAATGCTGACTCTGTGTGATGCCGTAATAACACACAGGCAGCCCAGAACAGCAACAATGAATGTAAGAAATCGAAAGTCAAMCCAGACACAACTCTTAAAAGTAAAAATAAAAAGACTGGTATACAGTGCTGAAACCTTAAGGTGAAAGCAAGACGGTCAGGAAATACTGGTAAAWTTTATTACGTCAGAATTAAAGATACTAGGGTTTAAAAAGACCTCTGCAGAGGCTGAAGTATTGACTCAAGCTTTTTACTTAAGTAAAAGTACTTACCGTAAATTATAAAAGCAAAAATAATGCAAAAAAAAAAAAGTCCTTATGGATAAAAGCTTAGAGGCCTATAGGGC